GGCGCGACCTGGCAGCCTGGCACAAGCGCGACCTGGCGGCCTGGCACAAGCGCCGACCTGGCAACCTGCGAGACGTGCTCACCGACAAATTCGGCATGCATATCCTAACACTCCCACGATCCTTGGAAGTGGGCCCACGTGCCGGACGATCCAGAGGGTGGTCAACGTGCATGGCGTTTACCTCCAGGAGTCTCGAACCACATAGACGACCTCGCAGAAATCCCGGATATGGTGCGTGAAGCCCACGCCAAACAATGCCTATATAAAGGCTCCAACCCCAATGCCATGGGGGGGCAAGTAAGCAAGTAAGCAAATTCTAGCTCTCATACTTTGTGATTTTTAGCTCACAGTCTACTATGAGAGTACTGACTTAAGCATCGGAGCGACCTCGCCGGGCAAGTAACCCCAGGTCCTCTGACATTTGGTTCCTTGCAGGTCTCTAAAGAGCAACGAAGCTCATCAATCCAGCTCGTCGCCAGGCAGCTCGGCTCCTGGTCAGCTCAGCACCTCCCAGGCAGCTCGACACCCAATTAACTCGGCACCTAATCTGCCCCTAGCTCAGACCAAATGACAAGGTACTTAGCACAAAAAAATTCACACTCCACCAAAAATTGATTCATCAGGGTGCATTTGAATTTGATTCGATTATTAATCGGATGTTATTTTCCTCATCCAAATCTGATTTGTTTATACTAATGTTATATCTGAGTCCGAGTTAATCAAATTGGATTTTGAGATGGCCTATAGATTTTTGGAGCCCATTGACAGCCTAGTTTTGACCCCTAAAAAGGTCATAAAAAATGGCAGACTTGCAATTTTAACTTTCCTAAAACTAATAACTATCTTAACAGATGTTATCACTTATTAATCTCCTGCCCCTTTTCTTTGGCACTTTGGGAATGGTTTTGCTCCTTATTTGGGTGTAGGTGGAATCCTCCACCAAATGTTCAAAGCTTGTTCACTTCTATTTTTGTCAGTTGGCCAAAGAAGAGAGGAAGAACTCTATGGCAGTGTACTTGTGTGGCTGTTTGTTGGACAATTTGGGAAGAAAGGAATCAAAGAACATTTTCTAAGAAAGAGAGTAGGGATGCCTTAATTGAAGTCATCACTATCAAGGATCAAAATTTCAATACGATACACCCCATATTGGGCATATCGTATCGTATCGTATCTTTTGGGTTCTGAAACACAGGTGTTTCAGGACCCCTCCTTTTTAATAAAGAATATATATATAAACCTATCCAAAAACCAAATTCTGAAAAAAAAAAACTATTTAAGGCATAGTTTTTAGTACCAATACGCCTCTGTCGATACACAGGGGCGTATCAATACTTTGAACCATGATCACTATTAGAGTGATCCATTGGGTGAAATCCCTAAAGCTTTTTGAGAACATTCCTGTTGGTGACTTTTAGAGAAATTGGAAGGAAATACCTGATCCTGCTCCTTTCAAGGATACTGTTAGGCCATCTTGGTCCCCTCCTTCTAGTGGTTTTATCAAGTTGAATTTTGGTGGTAGTAGTGAAGGAAATCCAGTCCTTCAGGCATTGGCGGTGTTTTCAGAAACGATGAAGGGAAAGTTATTGGTCCAATTAGGGTGGGTGACTAGTTAAGGGCTGAAATATTGACTCTCATGGAGGGAACAAAATGCTAAGGAGCTGAATATCAGTAAGCTGTCAAACAGAGGGGATTCAAAGCTAGTTATAAGTTGGCTTCAAAAGGAAGAGGAGATTGGGTGGTGCCATGGTGGGACTATTTTTATGAAAAAAGAAGAATTAATGGAAGTGACTTTTCAATGGGTGAAAAGAGATAAAGAGATGCTAATTGATTTCCTAATACTTTGGCCAAACAAGGGGTGGGAAGAAACCAGCTGTTTTGGGCATTGTTGTAATCAGTGTCCTGTTTGGGAGAGATAAGAGAGTTTAGCTCTCCCTTTCTACGTTTTACCTCTTTCTTTTTATTGAGTTTAATGAATCTGGTTCAGTTATTGATAAAAAAATAAAAAATAAACTATCTTAACAGAACTCTTAAAACAAGTAAAATTGAATGCTTCTTGATAAAGGCTACAAAGCTTTATCCCAATCATATGAGGTCAGCATGTCCAAACGGTAAATGTGATTACTAAATCTATAATATATTAAGTTTAAACCAACTGAAGCAATAGAGAAGAGAGAAAACAGAAATGCAAAGAAGAATTTATTGGGTAGTCAAAAATTGCCAACTGCCCCGTTATCTCATACGTAAATGTGATACAATTATGTACAATTGCTGAAATACCGCTAGAGTGGGGCTGAAGAGAAAATAAAGAAATATAAAATATTTAAAAGAAGGTACATGTTATGCTAATATATAACATGATCTATCCTAATATGATACAGAGTCAACTTTCAGCTGTGCTTTCTTCACATAATAACAATAAATAAATGTTTCAAAACACAAATTGATTAATCACTCTCAAAAATAAAGAGTAAAACCAGAATGAGAAAATATGTACCATCATGTAAAGCAAAAGCAGCTTCTTGGCCCTGCATTGGGATTGCATTGGCATGAATTAGATTCTTTGTTTGCTAAACTTACATAGAAGTTCATAATTTCAAGAGGTCAAAGCTTTTTTGTTAAGATTGACAAACTTAATAAAAGTAACTTAGAGAAGTTCTATTTTCTGCAGAATGATCCTTTTTGTCCCTTTCCTTTGTAGCCTGAAAGTAACTAGAAATATAAACTAGAATAATAATGAAATGCATTTACTTTGGCTTCAGCTTGCCGGTGTTGCCTTTCACATCCAGCTTTCTTTAGTCCTCTTTCTTTCCTCAAGCGCTCATATTTTCTGTTATGCTCTTCAATTTTGTGTGCATTAGGTTCAACCTGCAATCAAGTTATGGTATCAACCAACAATTTCTCCAATGTCTCCTAAGAATAATAACAGTTACCTTCTTTAACACTGAACCAATTTCTTCATCATAATCCAATTTAGATGCTACATGCAGATCCCTGGCAGCCTCTTCCCACTGCCCCAACAGGGCCCTTGCCATTCCTCGAAATTTGTACCCTTTTGCTGAATCAGGATTTATCTAAGAAAAATGTGTTCATAGTTGACAATAATTTACCAAATAAAATAAAAATAAATTTGCAAACAACACCAGTTACCCTGATAGAAAACCTATGTCAAATTCTTCAAGAACATCTTACAGAAAGGGACCATGGACAGACCTGTAAAGCCACATCTGTATCCCGGATTGCAGCATTTGGTTTGTTCATCTTAACAAAGACACTAGCTGAAAATTGACAAAGTTCAGATTTTTTGCAGAAACTATACAAATCACCATTAAATATACACAAACGTGACTGCTAAAAGAATTACCTCTAGTTGCATATAGAATAGCTGAACCTGGATTCAACAAGATAGCTTCTGTTAGATGTTCAATGGCTTCATCCAGTTTGCCTGCAAATCATACACATTGTAAGCTAATAAAAGAGATGGATATATCAGGAATTAAAACAAACAATAAATAATATACATATATATAATATGGTTCAATTCAATATATTGGGTGCAATAAATTCATATCATGCCTTCAGAAATTGCCTCCATAGCTTTCCCTTTGGCCAATTGAGCAGCATCCCAATTTTCTTCCGTAACTTCGACAGAGGGATTTCCCATCTACAACCAAAAGTAACAGATATGTAAACCTAAGCAAAACTAGGGCAGTAAAGCTCTGAACCAGCCTTAAGTTTTGTTCCCACTTAGGAATTTCCAGAACCCACCTTTTGTGGAGGCTCGTTATCAGGTTCTATAACATCACTGTTATCCAGTTCAATATCTGATTCAACAATCTCGTCATCAATATCATCCTTTTCTGTCGATAAATTAGGCTTAGGAGCATCAGTAGATTTTATGTCATCATCACTTTCATCCTGCACATGTCTTCTCTTTGATCAAAGGGCAAGAAAATAATTTTAAAACAGTCATCCTCCCTACAAGAATTTCATGCAGAATGCACAACTCATATTTTTAAGCTCATTCAAATTTTCAAGGGATACCATTTAGCAGTCAGTCTTCCAAAAAAAAATCAAATTCAGTAAAAGAAACCGCATCCAAACAAGAAAAGCAAAAAGAGCAAAAGTAACCTAATAGGAGAAAATTAGCGGAAAAGAAAACCAAGCATACATATCTAGAGGAAGTTGAAAATGGGAAATACAAAGAAAAAAAAAAGACTTACAGATTTAGGGACTTTTGGAATTCGAGCTCCAAGGCTGAAACAAGTATGTCAAAGAAAAGAAAAAGATTGTGAAATTTATCACTGGAATAGTAGATTTCAAACTCAAAATAAAACAAGAAATAGAATACCTTTGGAGATAACTCTTGAAGAAATCCAAAGAAGGATCATCGAGAATTGCTGGGTTTGATTTCAATAGATTGACGAAGAGCTTCAGCTCTGCAACCTTCGCAGCATCCATTTCTCTCTCTCGACCCGACAATGACAACTAGAAGACCCTCGATTCTCCGCGGCCGCGGGACTGTAATGAGTTAAAATTCGAATTAGTATATGCGTCTCACTTGTGATCCATGCTCACTATCATCACCGTTGATTTAGAATCGTAAAAAGGAGAAAGAACCATGAGAATTCATCAGAAAGAGGTGGCCCCTACCATTTAGAATCGTTTATCAATGCAATCGTTGACTGGCAGAAGTCCGGTTTACGTCCAGGAAGCCGTACCTGTAGAGACCACAGAATATGAGGAACATTGGGCTGGATCAGGCTTAGTCCAATGGCCCATAAATTGGATGAATATGCTGCTCGGTCCAACTGTCCTACAACAAAGCAAGAACGAGCCGGACGTCGGGCCTACAACCCAGCTGATGGACCACAGACATCCATTTGATGTGCTGCTGGATGCTGTTGGAAGTTCCTTAGGCCATGTTCTTTCTTTCATTGTGTGCTTTTCTCTTATATAGGTTAGAAAAAGGTAAGTTGGTGCAGGTCAGATTGCCTGATTTAAAGAATTTCAACTATATCGAGCTCGGATTAGAGCTTTGGCCCATTCAAACTTTAACAAATTCCCAACCCAACCAAACCCAACCCAAGTTGTGCCCTGTTCAAAGTCCAAACTGTCTAGTCTAGAACTCTAGATATGGTACCCTCTGCATCAGCCATGTGTTTTATTCCCATAATTCACATCAACCATCTGAAATCAGGCCACTTTGTATTAGACTAACTCATAGCATCCAAACTTGTACCCTCTTTCAATTTTAGAGATCCAGTAACAGTAAGGAAGGGTAGGGAGCTGAAAAAACAAGAGAAGTTGTTTTAGAACCCCAAGAAAGTTGCCACGTGAAAAGATTTGGAGGTTGTCTACATTCTGTGTTAACGACCTAGCTGGAAACATCAAACATAACTCGATTGTTTCACACACGCACACGTACAAGGTACAACACGTCTGGCCCAGCCCAGCCTAGATTTCACTAGCGCTGTAACTGGGCCAAGCCAGTCCAGTCAGTAGTGTGAAAATCTAGGCCCAGCCAGCCCAAACTCCTGCCTAAAGAGGAAGCTTCACATAGTCAATCAGATTTTTAATGCACATAGTTCTTCTGGGATAAGGCTAGTCCAGTTATATTAATTGTTTGCTGGTGGAGTGTAAATGATCCAAGAATCTTTCATGTGGCAATTTCGTTTTGGGTATAGGGCATTTTTTAGCTTATTTATCTGAGAGTAAAACTGCCCCCCACAACGTTCCACAGCACATTCAAGCCGTGTATTAGAAACATCTCCTGATGATGATATCAGAAGTGATGATGTCATCATTGGGAGATATTCACAATACACAGCAGGGATGTATTGTGGGAGGCAGATTTAAACTCTATTTATATCTGTTATGGCCTCTCCACAGAGCACACCCAACACCCCATCCCCTCGTGCATTGGAAACATCTTCCTTGTTTGTCATGGGGAAATATTCCCGATTCACGGGGAGGAAAATGCTGTGGAGCGTCTGTGGGGCACTCTCTGTGGCGAGTCCATCCCCGTCTCTTTCCATATTGGGACGTCCAAAAAGAATGGTGGGGCATATCTTACATTTGTACTTGTCTGAACATTCTACCAAAAAAAATTATTAATTGAATGATCTATATGAATGTAAACAACAGATAGCAGTCTTCTAATGTGTTAATCATTTTCGGTTGTTGTCAACTGAGCAAGAGAATGATCTCTACCAATTTTGTGTAAATTTGATTAAAGTTGAATGTAGAATCAAATATTTGTGTAAAATCTTCGTCAACTAATAGATGATAGGGATGCAAAAAAGTACCTAATTTGAAGATTTTGTATAGCATTAGGTCAGGCTTGGCCCATTCAAATTTTAACAATCCTCAACCCAGTTATACCAAGTTGCAGCCCTAATAGTAGAGGGATTCCACTTGATAAAGTAAGATGATAATTGTTTTCATTTATTTTCAATTTAACTTGGTTATTTAATTTAAACTAAGATTTTATTTTCTTTTATTTTTGGTTAGGGAAGGGGGAGTTAGAGAAGGGTGCAAATAAGGTCTACTGACCTCACCGTAGAGAGCTTACAGTTATGAAAATTTGATCCCCTCCATGTATGGAGGGATGCCAAACGACCATCTTAAATTAAGGCTTTGTGTGGATAGACTTTTACTTTTGTGTTTTTAAAAATATCAAAGTATAAAGTACATAAAATACTTTTACTTTGGTATTTTTGCTTTGAAAACTGTTTGGGTAAAAATTTTTGAAAAATATGTTTTCCAAAACAAAACTATCATTTTCTGTTTGGCAAAATCACGCCCTTTTTTTTCTTCCGTTGATTTTGAGGTCTAAGACTAATGATGGCAATCTGACTCTAGTAGCAGCGAGCAGAGGTAGGATCGAGAGTTAGAAAGTCAAACAACATATATACTTGCATAAATAATAAATATTATCTTGTAGTTACCATGAGATTATTGAATCATTATAATTAATATACTAATTTGGTTATAATGAGAGAGTGTTTTGAGAATTTATTTTATTATATATTATATATTATAATATTAACATAATAAATATTATATATATTAACACACACTTATATATAAATTTTAATTCGATTTGATTCAGTTTGACAAATTGAACCGTATAATGAACAAACCGTAACTACAAATAAATAATAGTTGGGATTAAGGTTGAATTTAGTAATATTTCACATTAGAATAAAGGGAAAATGTGTAGTGAAGTATTTTAAAAATGATTTTTTTTTTTAATTTGAGAGAATAGACAATAATAGCTGACAAGATTTGAAATTACTAGCAGAAATTAGATTGACTTTTGTGGAAACTATATTTAAATTAAACAATTTTGAGTCGTCCAAGCTCCAATTAATTAGTACAGTACAGGAGGGTACGCATGCATTTTTAAATTTTTTTTGTAGATTGCTAATAAATTGCTTTCTACCATGCATTAGGCTGCATTTGGAATTGATGAAAAATGTATAAAATTTGACATTGATTTTCTTGATATATTTATATTGATAATTGATGTAAAATTTTATGTTTGATGAGATTTTACATTGATTTATAGGCAAAATTCGACTCCATCCAAACATCCATTCAAACACTGATAAAACCGAACTAATATAAACTTTTACATGGTTCTTGTTTTACATCGCATTCAAATGCAGTGTTAACTTTCAAGTACAACCCTTACAGCTCACACACTCTCTCTCTCTCTCTTCCGAGTACAAAAGGCCCTTGTGGATCAGAGATCGAATACTTCAGGCTTACCGACTTCTTCATGCATTACCTCTGAACAAACAAAGGCACACTAAGGACAGACACAGAGAGAGGGGGGACTCCCATATTTTATTTTTCTTTGTTTGTTGTTTTCTTCTCCCGCCCTTCTCATCGGTAACCCTTTTAATGGTGCTGTAGCAACTAGAGACTCTCTTTTGTATACATCTCCCCATTTAGCCATTTATTATAGAGGCGAAGGTCTGGTAGAGAGAACAAGAGGCCGTAATGGGGACAACAGGCTTCTCTGTTCTCTCTTGCTCTTCCTTTTTCTTCTTTCTTGCGTCAATGCCGAAGACCCTGAAAGATTCTTTACATGGAAAGTTACCTATGGTGATATTATCCTCTCGGAGCGACGACTTCCGTATCTTGGCAGAAGTGGCGCCACTGCCACAAGGCAAGTAATTCATTTTCCTCTTCCACACCATCGTATGTATCATCTCCAAAGTTGGAGAGTAGGGAGTGAACCAATCCATGGACCCTTCGACACAACAGAAGTGGTGCCACTGCCACAAGGCCAACGGGGTTGCAGCAGAGTGGGAAACGGTGGCAATGGGGCGTCGTTGGACATTGAAAAAGAAATCCAACTGATGTTTCTCTCCGCTCAACTTCATCCATCGCCATCGGCAAAGGGGACCCGTCCAAACCCGCACAGCTGATGTTTGGGCGATGTTGAAAAAGAAATCCAGCGTCTTCCTCATTGGCTTTAGCACATGGGCGACAGCTTAACCTGCTCTCCCTCCCTATGCCCATTATAGCAGCGGTGGAGATTCCTCCATCTTTTCATTTTGAAGAGTTGGGAGAGAAGAGAAGAAAGGGAAAACAATAGGTTTTAAGAGAAAAATGGTAAAAAAAAGAAAAAATTTAATGGGATATTTTGATAATTTAACGCATTCCGTCATCTGACTTAACGGTCAAGGGGGGTATTTGTCTCATAGTCATTGTACAAAACAGCTTTTTGTCAAAGACCCAATAGTACAGGAGGATTTTTGTAATTTACCTGAGGTAGTGGTCTTTCCTGATTTCACTCTAACTGCTTTGTACTTTTGCCTTTTTGTTAAACCTTATAAATCTAGGTTAGTGTAAGGTGTCGGTGGCCTAGGGGATCCACTACCTCTATAATTGCAGTCTACCTCTACCATTATAAGATTTTAGTCTTCTTCCTTTAAAAGAGATTTGATGCACATATTTATCACGAGCCCTAAAAAAAAAGTAAAAAATACATCTTAGTTTCTCTAGAGGGCCTCCTTTTCTTTCTGTCCACTACTAGTGCTCTCTCTCTCTCTCTCTCTCTCTCTCCCGTGTTTCAGTGTTTTGGTTTGAATACTGAAAGAAAATAAGAGTGAAGGGGAAGGTTCTTAATGAATTTCAAAAAACAAAAAAAAAAAAGAAAAAAAATAGTACTTGCTGTCTTGCTGCTCAGATAAGAGCATAAATGCAAAATCGAAGCAAATTTTTACTCGGATTATATGTGTAGGTATTTGGTAAGAATGCATTTTTGTATTTAGAAGTGAAATAAATTTGTTGTTTTTTCACCATTTTTGCATTCAAAATAGAGAACCAAGTTTAGGCTCAATTTGGAAGGAGTACAAATACAAATATGTAGAGTACAAATTCTTGTATTTTGTATGTATTTGCACTGTACATATTTGTATTTGTATTCCTTCCAAACTAAGCATTAATTCCTTAAAAATGGAAGCAAACTTTGCATTCAAAGGTGATCAATGCAAAATAAGTTTGTTCCAGCTTTGGATTCACAAAACCACTTAAATCAATGCAAAATCAAATGGAATTTGCACTCCTACTCATTGACCAGATTTATATTCATGTTAGCACATGTACTTTTTCTTTTTTGCACTGCAAAGTGCAAACAAAAAACAGCCAAACACAGCCTTGTGTCGTCAACTCTGTTTTTCTCTTAGGTTACGTTTGGTTCGAAGGAAAAACTAGGGAAAGGAAGGGTTACTTTTTTCTTCAAACCAAACACAGCCTTAATTTCCACCAAACCAAAACCACACAGCCTAGTGTCAAATTGACCATGGGAACATGCTGGCACAGCGTCTAAGTCCTTACGAATTAAGCTTGGACAAACTGACAAAGACAGAAAACGGAAAGCCTATATGGGTAGGTTTTCATTTTCTAATAGAAACGTGGGGTCTCAGTCTCTGTGTCTCACCACCGAAAGGATAGTGTAACGTAACCTCTAATATCCTGAATCCCTGATAGCTACATGGATGGGAGTCATGTCATTGCAAATTGCCTGTGGAACATACCAGGTGGCAGGTGAATTCTAAGCCACAAACCAGAGCTACCAGCTGTCCAGTGTCCACAACCAATATATCTACTTCTATGTCAACTTTCAAGCCCACGAGAAGAAGCCCCCCCATCAAGTGGTAGGCTGCAAACGGATCCGATCAAATTCAGACGGCTATGTCCGAATCCAATCCAATTTATCCGATATGAATTATCCCAATCCCAACTACTCTGCCTTCACCCATTGTGGGAGGGCTACAACATCCTAGGGAATCAGATCAAGCAATTTCCGAACTCATCTAATTAATAAATTGATCATATTTTCAAACCCGACTGGTCATGGATAAGTAGATATCCAAACCCATATTGGATTAAATCAGATCCATTGCAGCCCTTACTTTCTTAGCCAAATATTGATCAGAACCAGTGGTGGTGATCTTTGCAAACTTTCAATCAACCCTATAGAATCTTGGCGGATGCGAGTCAGCCTGGTGAAGCAAGCCTCTTACAGCTGAGGGGACATCATCAAAATCCCCATTTCCATTGTGTTGAGAGAGATTTTTTTTCTAACCGAAATGTTTTTTTTTTTTTTTTTTTTTCATAACAACACATATTTCTCATCAATTTGTATTGATTAACCCAAAAAGTTTTTCAGGTAGAAACAGCAATAGTACCAAACAAAAACACAGCCTTTCACATGGCATCTAAAGTTGAATGCCAAGGAGCTTGTCATGTTTCATACATTTTCATTTCCATGCTGATATTTGAAACTCTAAATACGTTCTCTGCATTAGAATGAGAGCAAAGTAAACAGGAAGGATAGAATTATGTACTAAACCTGTATTGGTTCTTTACAATACTGCCGAAGTTAAATTTGTTACAAAAATGTTCCAAGGGTTCTCAGAAGAAAAGGCTCTCGATTACTTTGAAAGGAAAGATAATCGAGAGCCATTTAAAACATATATTTAGGAGATTTAATTAAGATTGAAGACTGAAAGAATAAGGATTAATATCATTAGAAAGTGGGAAAAAAAAGGGAAAAAAGCTAAAGGATGAAAACCCTTCAGCTCACATCTCCAATGTAACCTGCAAGTTGTTATTAATGGCCTCATTCTTATTTGGCCCCAAACACCATGCCTGCTTCTTGCTGACTGGGAGATCAACAGATACTGGACCAGAGTCTCCAGAAAAACCGAGACCATTGGATCCAGATGAGATAGGGCCCTCCGGCAATTTCTTCTTGAGGTTGTAAGGGTTCATGTTCATCATCCTGCATAGCATTTAGAAGAAGTTAAATGGATGACATCAATTTTCGGCTGCCAATGTTGATCACTATATTTCATGAGGTCTATAAATATTAGATGACAAATTAATAAAAATCAGCAGTGTCTACATAACCACTCAGATATATAGTACTAGTTGTAATGCTCAAATTGCAGTTAGCAGAAAAACCAGAAAGAGAAACAGAAAAAATGAAAGATAATACAGGAAGTTCTAACATCTAAATCACTGTGAGTATCTCTTACGGTGAAAATGAATTTGAAGTGATTTCTGATTAAATTGTGATCCAATTAAACCACCCCAATTAACATCAAGAAGTTACAAGACCACAAGAGCCACAAAGTAGCTAGTAGAGTGGTAGATCTTGCTTCCTAGTTCTCTGCTAGAAGCAAGCAATGGGACATAATGACATACTGACACTTGTAAAGACTATATTGGTAATGGCCTAGAAGATTGACAAGTTCATCTTACCTTTCCTTGCGTTTCTCCAGAAAACGAGCCAAGGATGCTTTACGAGCCTGAGGAACAGCTGCAGAACAAAACAAGTGTGTGATTTGCTATATTCCAAAATGGATCTTATACAATTGGTTACCATAATTATTATGTACAAGGTATTACATATTGAATGGCCATGAAAGATAAACAAGATACCTGCAGGCATCAGAGTTGGAGCAGCAGAACCCATAGAAGCAACCCTGTTTTGGGGTTCCTGGTGGCAGCTTGATGCATTCATATTACCTATTTGCCTTGATGCCAGATCATCGGTACTGCTAGAACCACTACCTGATTGAACAGACGCATGTGAATTAACTGAAATTGGGCTTGAAAGACCTGAGCATGGCGATGTAGGATGGAGCTGGTTTCCAAGAAGACCATCTCCTGCTACAGGTTTCGCGGTTGGAGTCTGCACTTGAGCTATTGGGTTTGTCATGGGAGATCCATTCCCAGCAAAGAACATAATGGCCTGAGCCTGAAAAACAGAAATACACTACCAAAATAAGAGTCAAATCTCTAAGCAGAGAACCAGTATGAGAGAGGGAGAGAGATACCTTCTCAGGAGTAATATCATTGTAGACATTCACAGCTCCTGCATAAAAGATGGTCAGTTGAGCAGGTGCTCCTGCAGGCTTTGAAATGTTCCTGCAAAGAGATTATATATCAATATTAGTATTGACTATTGAAGCTTCAAAAACTACACAAAAAGATGGTGAAGTTTCATTGAGATGTTCTATTACCATGGATCAAAGGTTCTTGCCATAGAACCAGCAGTAGGAAGAATAGAATGTGCTGTTGCAACAGGAATTCCACCAAGAGGTTGTTGCTTCATGGTAGCAGCAGCCATGTTCTGACCCATGGTAGTGTTTTGGGTCTTGATGAAAAGGTTGTTCATGGCAATAGAAATTGTCTGGTTGGCTGGAAACATCCTCACATCAGGTGGATGATTGGTGGCATGGGCATCAACATGTTGCAAAGGATAAGCTGCCATTGCATAATGGGTACCTCCTTGCCTATCAAAGTTGAAGCTTTTCTGCAAACCATTGAGGGGGAGAAACAACAAGACCGATCAGCCCATACTAACAAAAATTTTATCTGTTTCATGATGATTTGTATAGCTTGGAATAATAATAACACACCTGGGCTATGCCAGAAGTTTGTTTGTTAGCATCAAAAGCGTCTGCTGTTGCTATGGTAGGAATAAATCCAGAAGCAAAGGGATCAAATATAATCTTTTTTGCCCTATCATCCTGACCAGCCTTGAAAGGCATAAAATGAGGCAAAGCAGAGACTTTGTTTGAGAAAGGCCATTGCATGCCTGGACCTCTCATGAAGGCTGCAAGTTACAGGAAAAAAAAAGGAAGATTAACCTCTTAGTTGCAGATTACATGATTAAAAGGATCCTTCAGTCTTCCATCCCATTAGAAACTATAATTACCATTAATTTAATATCATCACTACAGAAAATTAGAGAAACCCATCTCTAATCTTCAAATCATGGAAGAGGTTAGTCATTCAAATTTGATAATTAAAACTYTTTCAACAAGTTGGCTGGTTATGTTCCAAAACAACATAAGATGGAATGCCGTTGAACAAAAAAAAGAAAGAAAGAAGAGAAAGGACCACCGAACGAACAAACAAGAATCTTGAAATTCTCTATGGGGATTGGGGAACCAAAATAATTGCAAGAAATTCCAAATTTCTTTGTTCAGTACATCTATACAAGTGATGAAATGATCACAAGACAAAATAATCAGATGTAGTAACATAAAATTGAAATGAACATATTTGATCCTACGGAGCTAACAAAATATATTGCAGAAATTTTCTTTTTCTTGGAGCTGGTTATAAAAAAGATGAAATAGTACATGGTTTGGAACACCCATGGCGCAATTTAGCAAATGCTCATCCAAATAAAGAATAAAATAATAATTAAAAAAACGGTACGAAAAAACACAGACCCGTTTCCTTAGGGATTAATGAACACTAAAAAGACATGTTTAGCATTCGCAGTAACATCATGCATATGTGTTACAGGAATAAAAGGAAAAGAAAAGAAAAAGAAAAATGAAAGACCAAAATCGAGCCCAATCTAAAAGAAAGGGCCAGTCTAAAGTGAGCCGCAGGCGAATGTTAAGTACACGAGGGTTGTTCCTGCGACCAACTTTGAACTTCACAGCCGCATGGAAGTTAGCGAATCAAAATTCGTCTCTGAAAAGAAGAAAACAAACAGAAAAAGCAGTGAAAACCGACTTTATTTTGCATTTAGTTAATCTCGAGTCTCGACTGCGAGCCTGTGTAGTTATTGTCATAAGAAGGCGAAGAACTGAAAGCTTCCGGCACAAAATTAGCACATCCACCAACAAATAAAAAACAAAAAAAAAAAAATGATTTCTCAAACTCCATTAAGAAATGAAGGATTGAATCTCCAAATCAAACAGACAAGTTAAACTCCAAAAAAAACACCAACAAAGTGAGAAAAATCCATTTTCAGTACGCAGAAACCAGATTTCAAGCAAACAAAATTCTACAATTCAAAGATTTCAACAGACCCAGAACGAAATCCATAACAGAATCATATTTTCCACAGCAGAAACCACGAATTTAATGAAAAAAAATCCATACCGGCATTCTTGCCTGCATCCTTAATCTCCTCCTTCACAAGTGCAACCGACTCTTTCGAATTCAAACCCAAGAAGTCCCTCTCCATCTCAAATTTGAAATTCCCAACACAAACGCACCAAACCTTCACTCACACAGATCAAACCAACCCCCTCAAATCGCTTAAAGTCAAAGAATTCCAAACCCCTCCTTCGAACATCACCAGAAGAAACGAAATCTCTCTCAGAAAACCCGCCGAAATGTTTCCGTCTCGCCTACAAACGCAGAAGTGAAAGAATGTTTGGACGAAGAGACAGAAACAGAAAAAGAAGGCGATTTTTATAATTATAGCTCCGGACTTCACCAGTCGGAATCTAAACCGTCCGATCTCCCGGAATCTTTTTGTGTGCCTTCACCGACTAATCCGGTCGTAACCGCCTATTCCGGTTTCCACCACGTGCGTCAAACAAAAAGATCACACCTTCTGAAAATCGTGGCACTTTGTCGGTGCTGGTCCTTCCCGCCCATTTTAATCTTCACTCTGCGTGACACGTGGCTCCAATAGTGATGAAATTACAAGGGCTGTGCACGAGATACGAGATCTTTTCTTACCTGAATATTTTAAAATCCCGAAATAAAGATTTTTTTTTTTTTTAAAACTCATAACTCGGAATAAAAATCGGGCGGAAACTCCGATAAATCTCGGATACGGATGAGGTTGAAACTTGTAAGTTTCAACCTGTTTTTCCAACGCCATTATGCTAGGGCAGTGTGGATCCTTGCGCAGTTAGGGATAAACCTTGAGGACGTCCAAGATAGACATCTGCATCAATTCTTGTGTATGTAGATTGAAGAGAAGTTGAATCACCTGTCAGCTTAGGTCCAACTGAGCTATATTAGTAAGTTCCTCGTGTTATTCAGACTCATTTGGGATATGCGCAATGCAAAGAACCATGGTCAGGCCATTTCACACCCTACACAATTAATTGAAATGGCCAACGCAGTATGGTGTCCAAGTTCACATAATAGAAAACAAGAAATTAGGAGTAGAATAACCACTAGTACATTGTTCGATTACTTGATTTTCACTGATGGAGCCTTGAGAATAATTACGGGAACAGCAGCTATTGGCTAAAGATTTTTCAGTGTTACATGCAGAGGGTCGAGCAGTCAAAGCATCATCAACAACCCAGGCAGAATGGCAAGCAGTAATCGAAGCGTTGAAGGCGGCTATAAGACCGAAGTGGTTGGAGGCATCCAGGCAGAAAGCGAACTAGAATGGGATCTTTTAAGTTTTAGAGACAAATATTATAATATGATGGTATATTTTGATAATATGGATATTAACCATATAAGCAGAAATGCTAATACTGCTGCGCATGAATTTGCATATAACACTTGTAAATATTTATATCCCCACTCCCCAGTCTGAAAGCAGCAGCACGGCAGCACCTACTCGTCATCTAATATTCCTATTTCACCTATATAAAGTCTCTCAGTTTCTCTTGCGTAGCATGTTCTCGCTGAAAAAAGGAACTGGTTTTCCTACCCGTTTGATTGGCTTACTCTTTGATTAATGTGGGCCCTTTTGGTAAAAACATATTAATTGGGAATCAATTTTTTATCATCCATCCAAAAAGGAAATAAATGAGATTTTAGAGAAACGGTTTATATGGTGGCGTTTGGACATCTGGAATTGGAATTGGTTATCCCTTTCGGTAACACATTCAAGCTGTTTGGAAAATGTTGATAAAGTTGTACAAATTTTGTATCATTATTGTCAAACCTCTATTGACCTAAATGATCACATCATTTGTCTCGGGAATCATCCAGACAACTGATTTTGTTTTACCTTCAACTTAGTTCTTAAGCAAAAAATCGTTGGTTAGGTCAGCAACTTGTTGATCCATGTGCTTAAACCGTTGATCCAATCAGTTGTTCAATGGTTTTTAGTCATTTTTTATTTTATCATTTAATTTAATTTTTTTTTATTGTTCAATTGAAATGAGTCATCCGTTCGAATTAAGTGGTCAAATAATCAACTCAGAAACCAATAGTTAGAATGATTCTGCATCCAGATCATTTTTAAAACCTTGCCTTATATGTTTCCTACGTTTTTCTTCAAAGTTTGAAACGTTTTGGATTTATCAATACAAATTGATGAAAAATATATCCTAACACATCATATATAAAAGGCACTTCAGCTGGAAATTTGCATGTATAGAATTAATCATAAACATAAACAACAATTTGTATTGATAAATCCAAAAACGTGTTTGATAGAAAAAGTAACGGTACCAAAAATGGCAATTATATCTGATGTGGGAAGTCTTGTTGCTTTCGTACGTAAACAACCGCAGGGTAGTCAGATGTACCCGCCAGGGTCTGCCGCCTGACCTCGTACGACCCTCATCTGGTGCATTCATCTTCACCTACCACTAGTCCGTTCAAGTATAAATAAGAGGTAACTCTCCCTTAACAGGGGATCCAGAAACCGGTTAATTCATGCGGCAACAATATCAAACACAACCTATATTATTGATTTGATTTGATGATTCAAGCAGCTATTACAAACAGGGAACAAGTTTGGATATTAAAAACGCCATACGGGCATTCGGGCATTTTCTCTCTTCACAAGTGTTCTGAACCATTGTTAAATATTGCATGTGCCCATACTAGCAGCCTATTAATGGAGTTTTGTTTGGATACTAAAATACGTTAAAAAATATGGGAAAGAGAAAAACAAGGGAAAATGGAATTTCTCACTAATTTAGTAATGCCATGTGGAATGAGATGATCTATCAAGGGACCAATTAAAAGATTATTTTCCCACAATATTTTCCTTCTTACTTATTTTGTGAAGAATCAAAGGAAGCATTCATTTGTTCTGCTCTTCCATTATTTGGTAACAGAAGTCATTTTCTGTCCCAATTTTACCCTAAGACATAAAAGCAAGGACAATACAAAAGTCGGTTGCTAATCTACAAAAGGGTCCTTTTCAAATCAAAGGACACCCAAATCCATCTACCACATGTGATGCATGTGGTATCCCTACCAACAGGAAAATTCAAGAATTTGAAGAAATCGAATCTCAAGAGTTCTTGATTTCCAAGTTAAGCTGATCCACAAAAGAATGCCGTCTATTATCAGTTACTTTGATTTTATGGTATGAGAGTGAGCACACTGCCAGCCCATGGCCACATTTTCTACATAAGCAAATGTGGCACAATAAAGGGGTGTTTGTCAATATGTATGATTATGCTTTTCAAAACAAAAAACAATTGCCACATCAGCAAAGAAGAATATGATTTTGCTGATGTGGCAATTTTGTGTTAAATGCCCCAATTAATCGGATGCAACTGTCAAGCATCAACATTCTTTTTTTCTTTTTTTTTTTCTTTTTGAGGCTGCCATTTGCACTAAAGCAAGCAGGATAAATGCATTCTTTTAATCAAGGTGTCCCAAGCACAAGAGCCACGATGCACCCTCAACTACTATTTGTTCACTTGTGGGAGTTACCATCTAATGGGCCACATTGAAAGATTTGCTACACCAAAACTCTGCACAATAAGATGCTTTTGTTGTATATTTTGTGTTTTTCCATAATTTGTTTTTCTTTTCTGATTGCTTTTGATAAAGAAAATTGCTGTATTGGGACAATAGCTTAAATCCCAAGCCACAATTTGGTTTTGGGAGGAGTGTACTCTCTTCTTAGTAGAACTCCTACTACCTTTTCTCACATGCTTTTAGAAACCCAAATTTAGTAGTTTTTGGTTAATTATTTGAGAAAACACAACTTCTATGGTATAGAATCATTTTCAGGGTACTGATACTGTGCAGTTAGCACTGTACGCCATAAATGTTGCATACCCTGGCAGTTGTATATATATATATACTCCAGATGCAACATTTACTGTTGGATGTTTGGAAGCTTCAAAACTCATTAGTGTTAAACACTTTGCAGAATGTACTACTGCAAAATATAAATGCTTCTAGAAAATAAAACAATATATTTGATAAGTTTTGGAGTTTTCTTATAGGAGAAAATTCAGGGTTTATTTGGTATTATTGCTGTTTCTGCCCAAAACATTTTGGATTGATTAATACAATTGGTGAGAAATATGTATTGTCATCTCTTCATATATGAGCCTGGTTTTGAAAATCAGACTGAAAAACCGGGGAACTGGTTAGGTATTCGGTTTTATTTCACCCTAAAACCATTTTTTGGCAAAAAATTATTGATTTGGTCAGTGACCCGTTGACTCAAGTGATCAAACCGTTGATTCAGATAATGGTTTTTTATCGTTTTTTTTTTTACTTTTTTATATTAAAACGGGCAATTCAACTAAAGAACCGGTCTCCAAAACGGTTCATGTCCAATCCGATTTTAAAAACCTTACATATGAGAGTTTCTTCAAGTAGAAAACTATATGTTTGAGACTGATCATTGACATTTACATATAGATGAGACATCACATTTGGTGTTTCAGGTAAAAACAACATTTTGTATTGATCAACCCCATATGTTTCAGGTAGATACAGTAATGGTACAAAATATAACCTTAGAGTCATGAAGTTAAAAATAATTTTTCTTGGCTATTTGCAGTTAGGAACTTGGGTTTCATTTGCTTCACTGTAGAAAAGGTATATAAAAAGAGATATAAGGTTTTTGAATCTAAAAAGTCTCAGTTAAATTCCTTTTATTTTTTTGCCTGTAAAAACTTTGTTTTCCTCCCATTTAAATGACAGAAAAAATGCAGCCCTAAAAAAAACAGAACGTTTGTTCTTGTGAATCTAACTTGTGCTTATATTGTATCACATTAGGCTCAGTTTGGAAGGAGTATAAATACAAATATGTCAAGTACAAAACTTTGTATTTTGTATATATTTATACTGTACATATGTATTGATACTTTTTCAAATTGAACCTTATGTTTATCAAGTTGCAGCTTGTAACAGCACATGCGCAACTAAAATGCAAGTTTGCAACTAACAACATAGGGCAAAGAACCGGGCAACTTATAACAACACTGAACAACCAATGTGCAACATAACATAACACAAGATTTTTTCAGCACCACAAGAAAAAATGGTTGTTATAGCATTTATAAAGGTCACATAACAATTAAATTCGTTTTCATGCTTGTCAGTAGGGGTGTGAATGGTATTTGAAAATCTGAATTCAAATTTGAGATTTGAAATAATTGATTTGAATTCGGATATGATTTGATTTGATTCAATAAATATCTGAATTTGACCAATTATTTAATTCTTATATATAATATACAAAAGATTTAAATATGTTATATAATATATGTATACAATAATT